AACCTGGTGTAGTGGAGGGTGTCCCTGCCCATGGCAGGGGGGGTGGGACTGGATGATCTTTGAGGTCCCTTCCAAACTGAACCATTTTATGATTCTAATATTCTGAATGAAGGAATTCAAAAAAGAACTTCTCAGCTGCCACATCCAAAGGTCAAGTGCAATCAGGTAAGAATACTGCTTATGAACTGCAGTCAGTAATAAACCACTTGTGTGTTGAGAATGGTTTCCAACACGTCATCAAGCCAATTCTGTTGACAGTGGGAAGCAAGATGATGTCATGCACAGAAGACCCCCAAGAAAACTTGGGGATAGTTCAAACTAACATTCTGTGTAATAAACATTGCCAAATAAACACTGTAGTCATTTTGCATACACAAGAAGTGGAAGGCGAATAGACAATATTCAAATAACTGATGTATTTAGTTCCAATGACCTACACATATTTCTAGTAGGTACTGAAAATATCTTCTAGATAGTGTTTCAAGTCAGCCTTTCCTCCAAAAACAGTGAATACAACTCTTCCCAATGCAAAAATTTCATGAGAAAAAGATCAATTCTCAACAACATTATAGCTGTAGCCAAACGTACACACTGAGAAATACCTATCAATGTTAATGGTGTCAATCACTAAACCACACATTGGCATAAACACAGGTGTTCAGAAAAAACACGATACCCCAGAAAAGACACAGATCATTGAGCAGTGACCAATAAACAAACCTACTATGGCATCCACTATGGTATAGGACATTGTTATTTATTTCCAGAGAATGTTAGAACTTCCAAAGATATTTTATTTGAAGTGTATAGTTCCACAACATTTAATCACAAGGTCCAAAGAGATTCCATAAAGTGTATTCATAAGACATCTTAGACATTTATTGATGCCTATGTAGTGGAAAACTTTATTAGAATAAAGTTCTCCTTATTATTCATATATAAAGGATTAGCATCTCATGTAAGTCACAGGCAGGTGATAAATATGAACAGTGTCAACTATTGATAGCTAATAAAGATGAAAAATGGTACAGAGCCCAAGATAACTTAATGGACTGCTAACGGGTCCATGCAGATTCGCTTCAAAATACAATTATCTTGATTTAACAATGCCAGTTAGGATGGTTTTCCTGCTGGCAGAACAAGGGCCAGTAGGAATGAAGAGTAGCAAGATGGTGGTCCTCCAGCAGGAGAAATGAATGGAGTCGAGGCAACTAGAAGACAAAGGGAGGGCACAGGG